AAAAAAATAACCCTGAATCTCTCCGAGACTATAGAACGCAACTACTAATGACAACTGACCGAATTGCGACAAGAGGTAATGGTGTTTTTTTTTAGCGAATAAAGACACGTTTGCGGTTGTTGCTGAATACGCAGCGCGCAGGTGGCGAGGAGGACATAGAAACGGCACGTATCCGGTTTGCTGCATTAACGTGATTCCAACATAATCACGCGCGATACATTTGTAATAATGAATGAATTCACGAGAGAATAGCAGTTTCCGCCGTTATTCATATAAGTGCATGTTCTCTCGTTTAAATTTCAACAAAGTTTGCTACTTTTTGTGCTTTTGATACAAATAATCGCGCATTTCGTAAAATGTCGCTGCGAAACCTCTTAAAATAATCAATAATATTAATCAAGTTTTATTAATCAATTAATTTTAATCTATTATTATTATTGTTGATTATAATCGATTACTGTTATTAGTAATCAATTAACATATCAATAATATCACGAGATTAATTATTATTGCTAAATAATCATGTTCCACGATCGTATATATATTTCTAACAAAAAAATTATTAAAGATACAGTGTGATTTTTTTTTTTTTTTTTGGTTTTACTAATATACTCCCCGCAAATTTTTTATATTATCAATCGCAATGAAAACGTAATATTTCGTCGGTATAATCTCCGAGTAAGCGTAGATTTCAAATCTCCCGTATATTTTAAAATTGTTCTGCGTTTGGTGCAATGTGTAAACACATCTGCGCGAGGAATATCACGATGTACATACGTACATACGAGAAACGCGTGACGCGATCCGACAGCTTCGTGTGTCCGGGAATGTGTGATCGAAAAATCTGTTTTGCCCTGCGGGACGGATCGATCGGAAAGCGTGGCGCGCAATTGTAGGCGGAGAGATGCGAGCGCCGAAATATGGAAGGGACTAAACTGCGATTATACATATGCGCGGAATAACGGGGCGAGAGAGAGGCGAGGGAAAGATCGTGAGTTTCGCAGGAGGGACAAATAATCGAGCGCGCGCGCGTGGCGATACGACGCGAATGCCGACAAGTCGATAGGATTACCTGCCGTCAACACGACAAAACCGACCATCGGCCGTGGCTGTCAGCACGTCAGTCAGGCTTTACTTCGTCGCGTTATTGTCCGTTTATTAATTTATGACCACGGTCTCCGCGATTGTTTATCGCGCGAACGAACGTTTCGCGTCGGTTTAAACCGGTCGGCCTATTAATTCTCTTATCAATTATTTCGAGTGCTATCGTCAAACACCGGACACATCTTAATTCGTATACTTTATAAAGTCATTCAGAACTAAATTTCAAAATCGAAAGATTTTAAACGTATAAATAATATACATTCAGTAATATACGTCGAGAACGACGTGAGAGAAGAATGTACGCGAAACGACGTCGAGTGCAAAACAATTAAAACGTCTGTCTCAAGAGCCGCGTGGTTTATGCATACAAATCGCCGTGAATGAACCTCCGCGTGAGGAATGAAATAAAACTCGCGCGTCCAAAAAACCGGACGGTTCACTGCATTATGGTAATTGACGTTGCGTTCGTTCGCGCGCGCGCACAAAATACCTTCGGCAGAAAGACGACGTGACGGAGACTCTCGGTCGGTTGCATCATCGCCGGGTAATCGTTAAACGCATCATCGACCGTGTGACAAACGGCCGGGGCGCGTTCGTCGGCCGATGTGCGCAACCGCGTATAATTAATGCACGCGATCCATTCGTCAATCGGACGCGATATCCATCTCCGCCTCGCTAATGAATTCCGCGATCATCGTCTAACCCGCGCTTCGACGCGCGCGTTCTGCGATGGATTTTCTCTCGCGAGACGGATATAAAAGCAGTCGCGAATGCAGGGCCGCGCGCGAAATACAACGTCCCGGGATCTCTTTTGGATCGTCACTATCTCGGGGAAAGATTTATTGCTGCAACACTGAAGCAAAAAGCTGACTCACTAGTCGGTCACGTAACTGTCATTTTTTTTCTTTTTTTTTAAATATCATAAACTTCGCGAATACTTTGGGTACTCCATCTATCTTTTATATTTTCAATATCACGCACATTTTCAATATCATGCGTATATACAGGCGATACACGCTTCTTCAATATCCCCACTCAGTGTTAGACACTTGAAATTTATTATCTCTCTCTTTGAGCGCAAAACTATTTTTGATTCCCTTAACGCAAAACGTCAGAGATGCTAATAAATCTACTTGTAAATCGATTCTTATCTCAATTGATGAAAGAGAAATATGTAAAATACAACAGCTTGGCACTTCGGCGAGGAGATCGTCATCGGAGGCTCCGCGAAATCGCGATGAATCTATTAGAAATCGTTACGCTCTATTGCGAGTGCTCGACTGAACATGAAAGACGAAACGTGCATATGTGTCTAGTCGTTGTTTCGCAATGTTTTTCGCGGTCCGTCTTGTAACGGGTATACCTATATAACGCAGCGCGCGCATGCTTTATAGCGCAACCGCGATAAATTACCATGAAGTCGGTAATTATTTTGGCGTATGTGGGCAACGGAGAACTCTGTGCGCGCTTGCTCGGACTGCGTTGCGCTAAACTTGCCGGGCGAACGTTTCGATGAAATTTATGAGCCCATTAAAAATCCCCGCCTAATGTCCTTCGGGACGCAGAAATTTCTGCAAGCAAATAAGTTTGCTCGCGCGATGCGCAATAAAGATATAATATTGGATCCGTGCAGCGGATGTTAATCCTTTCTCTTTCTTTCTCTATCTCTCTCTTTCTCTCTTTCTCTCTCTCTCGCCGATCATTGCCGTTGCGCGATTATTTGTTATACCTACACTCCTGAGATCCGATCGGTTTACGAATGTCAAGAAAAATAAATTGATGTGATCATACGTAATTATACCTCGAGTATTCTTTGACTGTCTAGACAGTTTTTACTACTCGAGTATTGATAGTTACTGTAATTCCCTTTTTTTCGCAAAAACAAGTTTTATTTTCTATAATAAATCTTACATACACACACACATACGTAAGTTTGCATTCATCTCTATAACTAATCCTCTTTATTTAAGAGATCAATAAAAAGAATCTACTTGAAGAACATTATTTTCGAATTCTCGCTATTTATCGTTGCGAAACGCCAATTAAATCCACAAAAAACATCGTCCAATCGATCGTTATTTCCGAACAATTAATTTTACAGTCGCCGCAAATTTAGTATTGCTGCGAGAGCGAGCAATAATTTTGCTGCGCGGACGAAATGTATGTCCGTGTATGACTCGCGTGTGTTTCGAGCGTCGTTATCGTTATCATTTTAATTCCGCGGAACTCAGTTTTCTCGAGAGTGCTCAAATTTGGTATACAAGACTTTATATCATTACGGAGCGCGCAAAGAGGTAAAACCGAGAACGTGAAAGCGTATTCATTCGGAAAAACGAGCATGCTTATCGCGGCAACAAGAGAACAGAATAAGAGAAGGAGAGAGAGAGAGAGAGAGAGAGAGAGAGAGAGAGAGAGAGAGAAAGAGAAAGAAAGAGAGGAGGAAAGCAGTTTCATGGATTCAGCACCGCAGTTACTCGCGCGTGCACGAAAACAGTCGATGGCCACGGCGCGATAATGGAATTTAATAATGCGATATGCCTTTCTCTCTCTTTCTCTCGTTCCTCGCGTCGTCTTACGGTTTCGCCTCCTCGCGCCATAACGACGCAACGCGCGCGCGACGCACCGTCGAGACGAGTACACGAGAAATGCCGGAGCCAGGCGCGCTCACTGGCTCGGTTCGCCGGTTAATTAGCCATTAAATATCAAGCAGCCGGCACAAGACTGCACGCAGATGGTATTTCGGATCAGTTAGAACAGTTAGCAATGGGCAATTACGGATAATAAACAGACTGCCACGACTAAGGCGGCAGCGAATGGCGCGCGCGTGGCGTGTTGTATACGAACGGAAAGCCGAGTGTATAGCGTGCAATGCGGAGATGCATAAAGATCGAAAAGCCATGAAACACACCGAAAATGTCCGATGGTTGAAACTAAAGATTTTTTATTTTATAGACATTTGGTGCAAAATTGCTTTTTTCGTGTATAAAGGTTTTGAAAAAATAGTAGAGCAAAAAAATTTCAACAATACAATGAAAAATGCAAAATTAAATGGTGGAAAAAAGATACGGCAGCGAATGATGATAATTTCAATTTTGCGAGAGTCGTTTCAGCGATATTCGCGTCCGTTCGCGTTTCACAACGACATATTTCTTCGTACAAATCGCGAATATTAAACGCGCCAACAAAAACACATATGCGTTCACTTCACAAACACACAGGAAAACTCGGCGTCGGGCATTTACACATTTACGATAATCAGAACGCATTCATTTCCAAGGGAGAGATTAATTAATCGGCGTACCCAAAATATCGGGTTAACTGAATAAATCCCATTAGCATTAATATTTCAATATTACCGCACGTGTTATCTGCTCATTCAGAAGGTTTAATCTGAAACCTGAATTGTTTAATTCTGAAAATTGCTCTCTTTTTACAGACTCGAAAACGACGCGAGCGGAGCGAATAATTACGATTCTATATTTTCTTGTAAGATATTTCAGTTCAAGTGAGGCAGCAATATTCATTGTTATTACATTTTATATTATCTCTGTAACGGATAAATTTACAAAACCACAAAATAAAACTAATAATAAATAAATAAAATATCAAAATGTTAAAATTTAAAACGTAAGACGATTAAAATCTAATCAATTTTTCCGTTATATGTAGTTTTTTTTTATTATGCAATATTTATATTATTTATTATTTTTACAATATATTTTGTGCGTAAAAATACAATGTTCTTTCTTTACATACAGAGATCGTAACATGTTACTTTATTTGATAAACAGTTTCTCCAAGCGATGTTAATAAGAATCCTGTTACTGCCTTACTTGAATCGAACCATATTTGCGGACGTGCGGCCACGGTATATGTCGAAGTGTATCACTTCTTACCTTTGGTAAGGCGCTTGCGGTCCACCCGGTGTCACGGAGGTGGTCGTGTTTTGTGTGGCGAGCGCGAGTTTCTGCTGTCGCTGGAACATCTGCCTGCTGAAGACCCCGTATCCGAAGCCATAGATTTCGTCCTCCTCCTTGTCGCTGAGGCAGCTCGAGGGCTGCACAAAAATGGAGAAGCGTTCGCTCTTTTCCTCTACACCCTAACTGCTTCACCCTATACAGACTACCGGGATTTTGCTTGCGAAGCACTACCCCATTTACGACGCGGGTAGGAGGAGCCTCGGGGGTCGTATTAAGAACTCGTTACATGAACTCGTTGTTGTATCATGAAATTTGGGAAAAAAACATCAAAAAAAAAAGGAAAAAAAAATAATAAAGTCCAATCTCCTGTCCTTGGACAATAACAACGAATACAAGCAAACTTGTGTAATTGTCAAGATGTTCTTACTTAATGACGGAATACGCGCAGATAAACGATATATAAAAATTGTTACAGCAAAAATATGTTCTCTATACGTATAAAAATTACAACCATTTATTCTCAAACTAGGAACTAAATTGTTTTATCACTATTATGTGAGAAATTATTGTTTAATTTTACATTTGAATTTACGCGTCTCTTACGTGATATTTTAGAGCGCGCAAATTCTTAATAATACGCGCGTATATAGCCAGAGAAAGAATTAAACGTCACTCAGTCGATTGAATTAAAACGGAAAAAGAAATTGAGCAATCGTTTTCGCGTTTAATCAAAGCGTGATACGCCGACCGGAACGAGTGACCTTTATTAATTTTCCAAATCGACACATCATCGATCTTGGAAGGAGCTTGGCCTTAATCGTCAATCGATTGCTTCGCGCTTGAAAACTCAATTAGCCACGGGGAAAGTCCGGGTAACGAACAATAACCGATTTAAGCTGGGATCGATAGGGTCTACATGGTTAATCGCCTTAAAGCACTTTGGGAAGTAACTTGCGGAGCCACGAATCCGCAAATGCAAGGTGTTTTTAACTTTTGTAAAGCGTTCTTCGTCAAAATCTCTCTTTTGTTGCGCGCACACTTTTTGAATATGTATATATGTTATTAAAAGGAGTGGAAACTCATTATCGCAATATTTGAACTAATTACTCTCTTTTATTTATACGCAATTGCAATTAACTTGCATCAATTATTATATAACATACACGACTTGTATATTTGATCGCGACGATCATCGGAAAAATTCGATGCTCTAACAATTCGGAATCGTTCGTCGGTCGCGCGGTATACGAGATTTCGTTTGCGTCTGACAATTTTCCTGCCGTAACGAAATTGTCTGCCCATAAGAAAAGAGACAAATGCTTGTATCGAATCAACCGGACGTGTTCTTCTCTCGCGAGCTTTCTGTTCCTTCGAAGGCAATTTGGCCAAGTGTCAGGGGAGTGTGCGGAGCAATAAGAAGGAATCGCGAAGAGATAGACAAGCTACTATATATGTCAGCCTATAACCGCATTAAGCTGGTCCGCGGAAGCAATAAAAAGAGAGAGTTTGACGGAAAGAGGGGGCGAATGTGTGTAACTGACGAGGGCGAGGTGAGTAAAAGCCAACACATATGAGAAGGAAAGAAATCCGCTCACCGAGTATTTTCCGGGCACGTAAATGGGCTGCGAATGACTGGTCGTGAGCTGAGTATTCGGCATTCTGGAAGCGTTCGTTTCTCGTCGGCGCAGCTCCTCGAGCGGCTCCAGGACGTCCCCGTAATGCGTTCTGAAGAGGTCTGCATACCGCGAGGCGAGTCCCTCCAAGTACCCCCTCTCGCCCTCCTGAAAACATGCAACATCGACACATTAGCAATTATTGAAAACAAACGCAGCAACGTATGCGTGTGTAACGATCATATAAAATCGATTTCTGGCTACAAAACGCGAAATATTTAGATTAATGATTCATAAACCATACATTAATGAGAGCTTTCGACGGGATTTTGCGATAAATCATGATATACGACGATCGTGTTATTTGAATAAGCGAAGCGGCTTGTAAGTGATGTAGGTTGCCATTGCAATTTTAATATCGCATAAAAGCAGGATCATAAATTATCTGTAATTGAGTCGAGAATCGATGAATATGTGTTAAAAAAAAAAGAGAAAAATTTTTATTTTTTCTGTTTTTTCCTCGAGCTCTTCTTGGTCGACGTGTCGACACGGCGTTGGTGTATGATTCAACAAGACGACGCTGAGAAACGGACGTGAGGGAGGAAAGGGAGGAAAGTCAAATGTCGGACGATCTCGAGAAAGAGGAAGAAAACGGACAACCAAGAACTAGGAAGAAACCTTGCAGAGAGAAGGATCGCCTTCGTACGACGAAGGTTGGTGTCACATTAATATTTCAGGATTCCACTTCCGCCGACTCCTCGATTGGACTCCCGGACTCGTAGTAACCATGGAAGGGCCGTGTCCTTCCCTTTTATGGCCACGAAGGAGAAGGCGGATAAGACGACGAGATGCAAGAATGAGGGTGGGGGAGAAGAGAAAGGAGGAAGAGAGGAATGTTCGTGGAACGAGGGACGCTTTGTCTGGTGCGCGCGAGTCGCCTTCTATTTACACTTTAAGCGCCCCATCCATCCGCCTCCGCCAGCGCTGTCGCCTCCGCTAGGTGCCGGCAAACGATATTCCGCGACCAACCCGCGGTCGTCTACCGGATTTAAATCCCATTTGTAAATATTCCCTGCGCGGCTGTGAGTGAATTACGCGGGAATTATGCCCGACGCGAAGAAGAAGAAGAAGAAGAAGAAGAAGAGAAGAAGAAGAAGAACAAGAACAGGAAGAAGAAGAAAAAGAAGAAGCGGTTCATCTTTCCGCCTACTCCAATTTTCGAGGCGCCGACAGTTTTCACGCCCCGTGCGGACGCGCGAGACGAAGTGCGCGAGTGCCTCATCGGAGATGAGGAAGAAATAAGAAAAATATCTCCATCCCTCCACAGGCAACGTTATGAATAATAAAATGTCGGAAGGAGATGTTTTTTCGCAATATACTTTTTAATAGAAAAAAAAAATCAAGTACAAGTCCATTTTACACCGATCGGTCTGTATCAGAGGACGCGTGACACGTAATATACACCGGTACGCCAGATATTCAATGAATCGACGGGAAGAATGGAGTCATCAATTGCAGGGCGTCAAACGTCAAGATTTTCATTACGATATAATCTATTCCGACGGTTCCAGCGACCAAAGTGGGGTTAGAAAAGACATTAAGGCGAGTGTCGAAGACGCGCGAAGGATGAAACGAACGGAACGAGTCATCGTTCCGCCATTTCATCCCCTCTTGCCCATCCCCTTTACGTGCCCGTTTCCTGGCGCCCCTTTATCGATAATCCGCGAGTATTAATTAGAATTCCAATCTTCCGATTTAATACGATGTTCTCCGCCGCCCTCCCCTCTCTCTCTACTTTCTGCCACTTCTTGTTCTCCAGTCTCTTTCTCATTCTCTCCGCCCGCTGTCCTCCGCCCCGGTCATTCCCCTCACCCCTCGGGGGAGCTTAACGGTCAAACTGAAACTTTCAAATTGAGAGCGCATAAAGCGAACGAATTTTGCACGCGCGAGCACGACTCTTCGGAACTTTATTGCGTCGTAAATTAAAATTTCACCCATGAACGGATAATCGAGGAGTGATTAAAGTGTCCATTTTATCGAATCGCTCGGCGGAATGTCCGCGAAAAACACCGATGGCCGTGAGACGTTGTGTCGCGTTTTGATATCCCATCAAGAGAACTTTCAATTGATCTCGTTACCCTTTTGCTCTCTGGACGATATCCTTCAGATGGCTTAAGTTTTAAACTCGTTTCCTTAGCGTGAAAAATTCAACGATTGGCCATCATTTCTACCGCGTAATACGTTGTTGGCGCGCTAAATAAAACAAGTGAACTGAACATAGCGACCGCGAAAGTGCGCACACGAATATGTCAGGTCTTTTATGTTTCTTTTTCAAAAAGAAATCTATTCGCGGCGCACATTACGCCGTATAATCAGAGAATATAGAATTATTTGGGAACATAATTGCACGATTATTTTTAACGAGCTTCCGGTTGGCGATAACTCGAGTTTTACTACGCGCAATAAGATTTCTTCCTTAAGCAAAACAAAAAAAGAAAAACAAACAAATAAACAAGCGCACAGATTTTTCCGCGCACGAAGCAAGTAGTTGTACCGAGACAAAAGTCATCCTCGTGTTATACCATTCTTTTTTCCGAGGTCACTTCATTCCAACGAGCTTCAGTACAACGTCCTTGCTAATCCCGCTAGTCGACATTGCACGGACATCCGTCGAACAACGACGGCCGACCCCTCGATGACAAGGCGCGCCACCGTAATTATATTCCTGCCCTCTATCGTGGATTCCCCCCCCGTGACACACATTGTGGCGGTAGCGACCCAGAAAATTTTGCGGATAATGGAGACATGTTCGGCATGACGAATGCTGTTGCCTTGTTGTTACGACATATATACTTCGTCGTTCATCACACACACGTTGTAAAACAAAATTTTATTAACCGTAGTCGCGTGAAGTGAACAAAACAATCGCGAGAAAAAAGAAAAAAAATTGATAAATGTCCGCTGACGCGCTCCGAATAAAAATTTGCGTTTCGCGTAATGCGACGCAACTGCTATATCGCGTACTTCGCTAAAATTTTGAAATTTGCGAGCGGAACTTCATTGTGCTGTTACGTGAACGAAAATGAACGAACGAAAAATTGACTGCGCGTTTGGTACCTCGATTTTTTTCCACGCGAGAGACTGTCTTGTCTATGAATGAGCGATTGAATTGACAAGCGAGTTGGTCAAAGTTAACAATCCGATACCTGTTAAGTATATGTCTGCGCCTGATACGTCCAGCAATATTTTATTTCCAGAGGGAAAAAAAGAAAGGAATCAAAGACAACATTGTGCGTCGAAGTACGCGACTGATATTCTCCGCTACACGTCAAACATCGTCAACTTCAAGTTCATCCCTCCGACCGCACTGTTGCCAACGTGATTCTAGTTGGCGCGGTAGAGAGCGCGCGACGTACACAATACGACTAGGAAACGAACTATTCAAGTCGAACAATACTAGTTGCAAGTTTTTATCGACAGAAGAATCGTTATTCGAGAATCGTGCGTTGAAGAGAATCGGACGTAAGAATCGGGAGAAGCAAAAGAAACAAAAAACGTACTTTTGTTCGCTATTTATCTATCGTTCATTTTCGCCCGCGGCGGGAGTTCTTCGCGATTCTTTCGGAAGTAAAACTTCCGCGGCTTTTCTTTTTTTTTTGCCTGGCGCTCTCACGGAATTCAAAGTGGTCAGCGATCCGGCACCGTGCTCAAGACACAGATAAAGCCCGGCGAGAACCCGTTAACGGATAAAAAGGTAAAGGAAAAGAGCGCGGATCGAAAAATCAAGCGCGTCCGTCGGTTCTCATATTTCCTTTGAAGTAGGCAAACCCACTTTCCGAGTGTTAACATTGCCGAGCGCGGCACAACTTTCCGGAAAATTATTTTACTCGGGGCAAAGGCAATCCCTATTGACTCGGCCGCGATCGCTTCGACGAGGTTGCAGGATGAGAGAAACTAGTAAGGGGATAGATAGAGAGAGAGAGAGAGGCAAAGGAGGGCAGGAAGATGAAGAGGGGTGAACGAAGGAGAAGAGGCTGACTGTCGGGGAAGGGAAAGACGGCCGAGCTGAGATAGAAGAGCGGAAGAAAATTGAAAAGTCAAGAAGCTACCCATCGACGTGCTCGTGGAGTTTAACCGCGTACTGCAAGACGAGCTTTACTCTTTCCTTTACCTCTCCTTTTTATATCGGTCTATTTATCCATCTGTATATAGATATATATACATACTCTTTCGATTCTCTCTTTCTTATTGGCGAATTGCTTTTCTTTATTCTATTTTGCGGTATTCTCTTACTTTGTGTACATCTCATTTTACGAGCGCACTGAATCGTCACACTGTGCGTTCGTCGATTCGATTGCAAAGTGTACTGACGATAACTGCTTATACCGACGTGATTGCGAAACGATGTGTCCTCAATAAAACCTCTGATCGTCGACAGCGAGATATCGATCTGAACGATATAACTTAATGCGTTCTCTCGATATTATTTCGATAGCAAAGACCCAATTTGCGCGCAGATACGATGAAAAAAGTTTGAATTACGACTGCAAAAACCGTAGAAATTCAATTTGTTCCGCAAATTGCGCGAATCATTAACGTATCATCAGATTGCGTCAGATTTCGAATTGTATGCAGTATAATAGTATATTTTTATTTTTATTTATATTTATGTAAATTTGTGTTAAAATAAGAGAAGAATATAGTGAAAAATAATGAGTTCTTACTCGTAAAGAAAGACTGAGAGATTGTTCGTACAATTAAGGAAACTCTTGGCTCTGACTAGGTATTTATTCCAGAATTGAATGCAAGGATGGAACGTTCTCCGGAGAGATACGGAGGAATCACTGTAAAATATTCAGCATTCTGCAGTAGCGCGATTCGATCACGCCGTTCTCACCGACAAAATAGCCTTCGTAAGCAACCGCCGGGAGTGAATCGTCGCTCGTAGAGACGCATATCGATTTCGCTCGCGTATCGAACGGCGTTTCTCTCATCCGCTTAAAATCCGAGGCGCGAAGTAGACGGCGTTTTACGATAATTGGGCGGCCCGATGGTGCCTCTCTCTCTCATCGGCACTCTCTTCTAGGCGCCGCGGTTGGAGGACGAAATTATTTTCGGGTGGTTCCTCTAACGGGCGTTGCACCCGCCATTAACGGACACCCACCAGT